GTAATGTAATGTAAGTAGTGATCTTTTATTTTCTTTTCGATCTTAACGGTTCTTTTCTTCACATCTGTCTTTCATAAAATAGTACATCTCGATTAGATATACGGGTAGCGCACAGATTATTGTCATGATCAGTAGAATTGGTGAGCCTAGAACAAACACCAGACTAATCTCCTGCATTCACTTTCGCACATCAATTCTCACATGAAGTTATGCATGAAATAGCAATGTTGACTGTGTTCCTTGGCCTTTTATTGGTAGCCAATCTTAGGAGAAATGCCGCTCTAAATTCAAAACCGCTGAGAAAACCGCGGGAAATCGTTACATACCTTGTCTTTCCCAATAAATTTTAATAATTTAAATATAATTATGAAAATGAATCGGTAGTGAGTGATAAGAGCATACACCCTGAAAAGACAAACCATTTAAAAATATCTGCTACTTGAATATATAAATCTATATTAATCGCTTTTCCAAATGAACTACCTTCTCATATAACTTGTTTCACTGCGTTAGCGTTTATTTTTTTAATCATTTCACCTCAAGGAAGACAAAAAAGCCACTAAGGCGCAAGGGGTTACTGTATGAGAGAATATCAGGAAAATATAGCATTAAGGAGTACAATAAAAGAACAGGAATTAAAAAGACAGAAGATAACGAATTACATTATATTTTAAACATTACATATCCCCACACGAACTCCTTCATCAATTCTCCGTTCTCTCTCTCTCTCTCTCTCTCTCTCTCTCTATCACATTCTGTACATATCTATCTATCTCATTCTGTTTATATCTATCTATCTATCTATCTATCTATCTATCTATCTATCTATCGCATTCTGTACATATCTATTTATCTCATTCTGTTTCTATCTATCTATCTATCTATCTCATTCTGTAAATATCTATCTCATTCTGTTTATATCTATCTATCTATCTATCTATCTATCTATCGCATTCTGTACATATCTATCTCATTCTGTTTATATCTATCTATCTATCTCATTCTGTAAATATCTATCTCATTCTGTTTATATCTATCTATCTATCTATCTATCTCATTCTGTACATATCTATCTCATTCTGTTTCTATCTATCTATCTATCTATCTATCTATCTATCTATCTATCTATCTATCTATCTATCTATCTATCTATCTATCTATCTATCTATCTATCTATCTATGTGTTTGTGTTTCCGTGAGTGTGCGTGTGTTTCTAGCCATCTCTCTTTCCGAGTAGGCAGATGTTTCCATCCACCATCGCTGTCTGCTACTAACAATCAATTACAGCGACAATGTGCTTTTCCGTGCAAGTTTTTGTCTGCCTGTCACTTCGACACAACGTTGTTTAACCGGAAGACGCAAAGCTGATAAACTGAATATGTTATTTTTGTAGGACTAGGGACGATTGTGCTTGTTCTTGTCGTCGATGTATTTCTCACCTAGTTGGCACTGCTTGACAGGGATTGAGTGCTGGCTTATTGGTGGGACCGACCTTTTCATCGAGAAAGTTCCGGTCGACTTTTCTTTGTTCATTATAACGGAATATTGTAGAAGTTTAGCCTGCGTTAAAATATTATGGTAATTTATACTCTGTTAAATACCATGAAAATTTGCGCTCTATTAAAATACTATGGAAATTTGCGTTCTATCAAAATATTATGGAAATTTGCACTTTATTAAAATATGGAATTTGCACTCTATTAAAATATTATGGAATTTGCACTCTATTAAAATATTATGGAATTTGTGCTCTGTTAAAATATTATGGAATTTGCGCTCTATTAAAATATTATGGAATTAGCACTCTATTAAAATATTATGGAATTTGCGCTCTATTAAAATATTATGGAATTTGCACTCTATTAAAATATTATGGAATTTGCGCTCTATTAAAATATTATGGAATTTGCACTCTATTCAAATATTATGGAATTTGCGCTCTATTCAAATATTATGGAATTTGCGCTCTATTCAAATATTATGGAATTTGCACTCTATTAAAATATTATGGAATTTGCGCTCTATTAAAATATTATGGAATTTGCGCTCTATTAAAATATTATGGAATTTGCGCTCTATTAAATAATTATGTAAGTTTTCTCTCTGTTAAAAATAATGTTTGAATTGCGTTGCTGTTGTGCATTCGGACCTAACAATGACCAAATAGCCACATCTGTTTTTATATTCAAGCAAATTTAATTTATAGTTTCCAATATTATTCTTCCCTATAACATAGTCAAATGGAATTTGTCTACTAATGGAAGGATAAAAGCAAATCGATACGTTTTAATTTCCGATTTTTATTGGATTATATTATAAGTAATTACGATATATATATATATATATATATATATATATATATATATATATATATATATATATATATATATTACTGACATTTGAAAAAACATTCATGAAAGTATATTTTGAAAATACATCCGACTATATATTTCGCCTGTTTGGCTTCATCAGATCGAAGATGAAAACATGAGTTGCGTATGTGTTGAAAATAATGAAATCAAATAATTTTCCCAAGCTGGCATTGCTGGTGTCTAAAAAAGAGAAACAAAATGTGTGACTTTTAAAAAATCGTTTAACATTTTAGGTTCACCGTCTTAAGTGTCCGAGTTTAGAGATAGAACTCCTTCAGAATGGGTAGGAAATAAATGAAAGTGTTGTTTTTATCCATGCGTTCTTAAACGCATACACATGCACAATTGCATACACACGCAATACATTTTTTCACCTGCGATCTGATGAAGCCAAACAGGCGAAATGCATAGTCGGATGTTTTTTTTCAAAATATACTTTCATAAAAGGTTTTACAAATGTCAGTAATTTATAACTCTGTTGGGATTATATACCCAAATTTATAACACACACACACACACACACACACACACACACACACACACACACACACATATATGCAGAAATATAGTTTTAAAGTGTGCTATATTTATGGTATAAAGTGATCAATATCAGAGATAGAGCATATGTAAATATAAATATAAAAGTGAACATGGAAGTCAACACTCATAGGTGACAGGCTGTTTCATGCTAGGCGCAATCGTCAGGACGAAGATATGGTGAATATATATATATATATATATATATATATATATATATGTAGTCACCATATCTTCGTTTAAACGTTTCATTGCATAATATGGATATATTGTATCTATTTATTTTATACTGATCCTTTCCAGTTTTCTAATCAGTTTCTTGGTGTTAAAATGAAATTCATTAAGGAATGTGCCGTTTTTTTATAACCCAAGTACTTTCGATTTTTTCCAAGACCATCTTCAGGAGCAAATTACAAAGATAAACTTATTGTAACAGCGATAAAATCTGCATTTCGTTGTGAATCAGACAACGAACACTCAACAAAATTTATTACGATTGTAACAGAAACATACTGAAGTACATATAACAAACATTTAATGCCATTTTGCATTTCTACAAATTTTCGGTCAGCTCCCTTATACTGAAACGCTTGTTTCTCTAAATAATCTTTTTATGATGTAACGTTTTTTTTTTTAAATTACCAGTGGAAATTCTTGTTAGACTACATGTTTCGAATCAAGAACCCGCACTCGTTTACCACATGCTAACATTTTTCGAATAAATGCCTAAAAAAAAAAACGAAACCTATTTTTAAAATACAAATTCTGCTTCTAGTTGAGAAGAGGATGTCGGAAAATCTGCTAGGACAAAGCGATATTGATTAAGGCAGACGACACAATAAAAGCCATAACAGAGAATTAATGTTATGAATGGCTCCATAAATTTAGCTACAACACTGATAGATTATATAAAATGTGATGATGTGATGATAGAACGTGATGATAATCGAGATGTTGCAAATATTGATTGAGAAGGTGGGAGTGACCTGGTAATATTTGAACCGGTCTGTAATAGTACTTGAGAAAATGACACTGACAGTACACATGATGAAACATTTAGTTGCCATGTCGGTAAAAGTACTTGGGATAATTACCTTGATAACTACTCATGATGCAATCGTTGACTGTTATGCGATAATAGAAAAGATTTAAGATGGTTGCTATGTCAGTAATCGTACTTGAGATAATAGCGTTCTCAACTACTTACGATGAAAAGGTTGACTAAGAGACAACACTAGTAGATATTTAAAATGGCTGCCTTATTATCGATAACGGTACTTGATATAATCACACTGATATTAATCAAGGTGTAAGGACTGATGATTTGCTAATAAGAGAAAAAATATGCTAGTTGCCCTGTCAGTAATCGTAGTTGGAATACTGGCCCTGATAGTAATAATGATAAAAGGACTGGGTATGTGACAATAACAGAAAATATTTGAGCTGATTGCAAATTCAGTAATCGTACTTGCGATAATAACCTTAATATTAATCATGGTAAAAGGACTGGCGATGGTATAATAATAGAAATGATTTAAGCTGGTTGCTATGTCGGTAATCGTACTTGGGATAATGAATCTGTTATTAATCATGATATAAATACTAGTAATGTGATAATAATAGAAAAGTTCTAAACTGGTTGCTATGTCGGTAATCGTACTTTGAATAATAACCCTGATATTAATCATTAGGAAAAGACTTGATTTGATAATAGAAAATATTTAATACTAATAGTCAATATTAGTCGTTTCCCTACAAGGAAACATTTGGCTGTACGGCTTATTTGTATCATACATTTTTATAAGTCATGATGAAAAATTTAACAGTGCGAATAATGATATTAATCGTAAAGTATACTGATTGATATTTTATGGGTTGGGATACTGATTTTGATGATCTTCATGAAGCAGTTATACAGATATTAAAGATTTTTTTTACTACCAGATTATAAGTTTTGTATGATTTACAATTTCGAAATTGATTTTTTTTTGTAGCAATATATTCTTTTTCGTTTCTCATTATTTTTCTCTACTATACTTCTAAAATCTCCTAACGAATGACGTTTATGAATTGAACATAGTCGTATTGGCAGTGGTAATATTAGTGTGTTTTTCTTGTAAAGATGGTGTCTTCAGCGCTGACGAAAATAATACTGTGGTAGTGGCAATGATAAAAATAATGATGTTATCTTTGTGACAATGATAGACACCATGTTGTTTGTGGAAGAAGTGATGGTGTTAACTGTGATATTAGTCCTTGTCTTGATGGCGGCGATTTCAGTGGTAACGTTGTGGAAGGTGGAGTGACGTTATTAAGATGGTTGTGACATAAATGGTGTTTGATAAAGGAACGGCTGTTCGAGGTGGAGATTAAGAAGCAAATATTGATTTGTGCAGCCATGCGTAGAACGTGGGTTGGGTGCTTTGTTTAAGCACGAATAATATTCTCCTAAGTCTGGTGAGGAGAAGGTTGATTTAACGAAACGATACACAATCATACACTATGTAGAGGGGACAACTCAAAAGAGTGAATACGAAACAATGTCGGGGATAAAAATAAAGAAGAAATAGAAAACGGGAATATCTTGATTAGAAGAATATTTGAATGGGAAAGAAAAGGAAAGTTGGAAAAAAGAAAGAAATTAAATGAAGCTGTGAACATGTAAAAACATGAATTCATATTGATGTTCAAATATTCAACATAATATTCATAAGTTTAAAGAGGCGTCAGTTGAATAATGGTTGATAAACCAGTCAAACACATCATTAGTTATTATGTTGCTTTCTAACTGAATTACTCAAGTTTGGTGGTACTGTGCGGAAGATAGATAAGTTCATTAAATATCTACAAAAAAAATAAGCAGCATTTCAGTAAAATCTAGAAAACTACTCTCCTTCAATATATATATGCACATTGCATTGAATTCTACAGACAAGGTGCTTTTTTTAGTTTTCTATACAATTTCTCATGCGATCTAATTATTTTTTGTCTTTTCGGATGATAAATTATATAAAAACTGTTCTTTTTATCCGAGCGCTTTTTGCGATATATTATTTTTGCTAGTTGTTTTCAAGGATTAAATATTTTAACTCATAAATAA